TATATATATATATATATATATCAGTCCAAATACTCAGATAGAATGGAGATTTACTAGTCCAAATCTTTGACTGCTGTGTGTTTCTCTCAGAACCCGAATTATATAAGCTGCTAATCAGAAGCAGGGGCGGTGGAGCGTCAGCCATGCGCTCTATAATTTTTGGGTAATGTTCCGTCTCTATAGATTAGGGCTCCACTCTCCACTCCTCAATGACTATCTCTTGCAGCGGTAAGGTACAGTGCTGTGTGTTACTATTCTTTAAGGGTAGTTTTGATTTATTTTTTTCAAATTAACACCGTTAACTTTAATTTGGATGGAAAATCAAGTTAGGGGGTAAATGATAAAAAAAGTTTTAAGTAGGGGTGTAAATGATTAAATTTTTTGATGAGGGGGATAAATGATTCTAAAGAAACTTATAGAGGAGTTTTTAAATTTTTTTCCTTTTTTATTTTATAATTATGTGGGTCCCATTATATGATTGTGAGAGTAATAAGAGATAATCTTCCTTTATGCAACTGTAGATTAGTAAAGTCCTTTGTTTTATGGGATAAAAATTTGTGCTATAACTTTAGATATATATGTATGTTGTTAACTTAAACACACTCTTTTGATCTTTTTTTAACTAAAACAAGTTACTTATATATCATGCCAAATCACGCCGTTAACACACAGTTTTCATTTTTTTTTAACACACCGTCTTCGTCTTCACCTCGTTCACCTTCTGTGTCTCTCTCATCCAATTTGCACGCAAGATTGAAGCTTTTTTTTTCTTCACCACAGTGTCTCTTTTTCTTTATTATGTGGTTGACAAAATTTGCGTATTGAAGGGTGATTTTTGGGATCTGGTGGAAGCTGAAACTTGTGGACCTCTGCAATTCCAGCAGTTTTCTCCGTTATTTAGGTGTAGTTTTTTTTTTGTAATGGGTTGGAGATACAAGGTTGGATTGTTCCACATAGATATTGTGGTTATCATATGGATCACCTCTGCTGATGTCACCCTGGTAAACTTTCACCAATTAAAGGTGTTATTTGGAAGAGTGCATGGCATGATAAGTAATTTGTTTTAGTTAAAAAAAAAATCAAAACAATGTGTTTAATTTAACAACAAATATATTTATCTAAAGTTACAACAAAAACTTTAATCCCTTGTTTTATATTAATAATCACATGTATTCAATTTGTGTTACTGTTTATGCATTACTATTTAATTAAGTCGTAAAAATTAATTTAATCTTGTCCATATGTATAACTTATTTCTTTTAAAAAATATATTGTTAAAAAAAATAGCACTAGTTCAATTTGAAATAAATTTTAAAAAATGTCATATTTATAACCTAAGAAAATTATACTACATTTAGTTTTAAAAATAAAAATATTTAAATATAATATTGACTCTCGTTGGCATCATCATTCTTTTGGAGCGAATTTTTAACCAGCCATGCACATCTACTATAAAGTGGGATTCGATAACCGCTAGTTAAAGAAGTTCACTCAACTTGAAAATGTATTTTTGGATATCATCATCGACCGGCCCCAGAACTGGGTTCTCGTGGTTAATACTGTGATAGAAAAGCTTTAGCCTTCGTTTGGATAGGCTTTTCTCCGTAGTGAGAAGTTTTTTTTTTTTTTTTTAAAAAAAAATCCTTTTAAAATTTTAACATTGTTTGGATGGTAACTTAAAAAAAAAAGCACAAGTTAATGAAAAAGTTAAAATTTTAACATCCTTTTAAAATCTTGGAGAAGCAGAAGCCAAAAGCAAGTAGCAAAGCCTCCTAGACAGATTGGACCCTCGGCTCCTCTGTCATTTTTTCTTCCTTGTCATTTTCCATCTTCAAGTTCAGATCTCTACTTATAGTGGAAGAAGGAGCAACTTACTTATGAGTATGAAGAAGCCAAAAAAGAAGGTAGAGACAGACCCCAAGTTTGGATGAGCTTTTTCCCAAATCAGATTACGTCTTATGACAAGAAATTAATCAATCCCAAATTAATATTAAACAATGGAATGATTGAACAATTAAGAGGACATGAACGTGAGATGCAGAGAGCATTGTACCGAATGATTTCACAAACAAAAATGAATTCGTGAAAAGGAGAGAGAGAACTCAGCGAAAGAAAAGAATGAATGAATCCAGCGAAAGAATGAACCAATGGCATGGGCGACGCCGGACTTGTTAGGGCCGTGATTGCAAGGAGGGGAGTCGAGGTGGTGGTGGTGGGCGTGAGCAGCAGCACCACGCTGAAGCTCTTCGATGGCGTTGCAAAGGCACTTCTCTCGGCGTCAGAGTTGTTCACTTGAGGAGGAGAGGAGGATACCGTTGAAATAGAGTGAAGGGTACAATAGTCATTTTGTAATTAAAAAGTGCTTTTATGTTCTAACATCCAAATGACATTTATACTTAAAAGTACTTCTCAAATATTACCTCCAAACGTAAAATAATATTGGCTTTTAAAAAAAATTCTTTTTAAAAAAGTTTATCATAAAAGTCCTTATTTTCAAAAGTTCATCCAAACGGGCAGAGTTGCGATGGAATTTTTTTCAGATAAGCTTATGCATCAATTTAAAAGCCAATCAAGTCTAATCTTATCCCTCCCTTAAAGCCTGATTACGTTTTACATCAATTTGATATATAACAAAAGTGTGATGAATCTCACACCAAATAATTGATAAAATCAAATGTATTTTTTTTTTAGTATTAATCTGGAGGTATCCCTATTCAACTTCCTCTGGTCATCTTGTCCTCGGGATACGGCTCTAAAGGCTAGCCTCTCATTAGAACAGCGAGTGCGTTGAGCTTCGCTACCGGAGGAATTTTGAAGGCTAGCCCTTCATTAGAACAGCGGTGGAACAGCGGGTGCATTGAGCTTCGCTACCGGAAGAAGGATGAGACTAATCCTTCGTTCAAAGAGAAAGACATGTCCTCTGGATCCCAAAGATTTGCTTGAGGCAGGGTTTGAACCTCTGACTCAAGCAAACCCTTGGGAGCTCAGTTGCCAACTGAGATATCTTTGGAGGTTAAATCAAATGTATTCTATTAACATAGTCTATCAAGCTTAACATTGATTTTTATTTTCATTTTTGGATACAATCAAGCATAATATTAATATGGCATGCCAAACGAGCTCTTTAGCAATCCTTGATAAAATAAAATATAAAACCAAAATATATAAGATATAGATGAGTGGTACTAATTAATTAGGAAGAAATTTGAGGTGAAGAGAATAATGGGCATAACAAATGCCGCAAGGACAGGGAGTCAAAAATTGGGGAGCAAGAAACCTAGCTTAGAGATACGTTATTATATTATTATTTTTATTCATTTGTATATTGATATATATATATATATAGTCATTGTTTTTCTGACAGAGTATAGAGAAGAAAAATGGATCGAAAGTGTTTCGCAATAAAAAATTTGGGTTGCTGGAGATAATAAATGATCCATAATATAAAAATAGTTGTTGCATTGCTTCACGCTTTTAGGAACCTTAGAAGATTGATTTGTTTTCTGGTCTTCAATGTTTTTTATGTAACATATTGGCCAATAGGTACTTCCAATCCCTTTCCCTTAGAAAGTGACAGAGCCTGCAATAAGTGACTAAGTCAAAACTAATGGGATCTGATATTGAAGGAATGCGTCGTGACAAAAATAAAACTGTTATTTAAACTCTTCGAAAGCTACCCATTCTCTAGAATTTAGATCCAAAATAAATGAGATGATATAATCATCATTGTTTAAAGGTATATTTTAAACAATTTTAGAGTGGTGACCGTTGTATAGCTCAGTTTTGTATTGTATTTTTTTTTCATCATACTAATTAACTAATAATTAGTCATACTTATAATATAAAAAGTGGGACTTAACTCAGAATATCCCTTTTATTTAGGATCTAAGCATATATATGTAACAACCGTTTACATGAGCAGCCGTGTATCCACAATATTTCTTTTATTTCGTGCAATAATACCTATTTATATACTTTTCATCAACATAGAAAGAAATATCACAACTTGTTAGTGGGTGAGTTTTAGGTTGGAAATTAATGGGTGATTCCTTTTGGTTTAACTTTGAATCATAAATACACAATATTAATAGATAACGTTATTGTCGATTAAATAATGTATATGTAATTAAATGGTGATGGCAAATCATATATATGACCACGATAGTACGGAATTCACAATATAGTTAATTCAACTATTATTATTAGGGAAAAGTGTGTATTCTTTTAAAGGATACACATTTATATCTTTTTAAGAGAGATAAAAGAATAAACTTAGAGAAAAGAAAGTGGATGAAAAGATTTATAATTTAAAATTTAAAAAAACACACTATATTTATCTAAAAGGAGCATCCTTTTAAATGACAAAGAATAAACCCTTATAATTATTATCTCTGCCACGGATAAGATTCACCTTGATTTAGGCTAAGGAAACTCAACATGCGAACAATATTAAAGTAGCCTTTTATTATAAAGAAAGCAAGTTCTACTCTTCCTCTTTCACCCCCTTCTATGTTTGGTGAAAATTTTGGCCCCTTTTCTTAATTTATATATTTATTTTTTACATAACCTAAGCACGTGGAGCGTGGAACTATCTTACTTTTTCACCTTGTTTATAACTAGCTAAGTTAACTGGTTCATTTATCTTCATAATATATTAAACGAAGTTTTATTCTTCTAGATGCACCATTCCGTCCAGTAAAATTTAGGAGATAATACAAAACAGGAAATATGCATATAAATGTAAGCAAAAGTAACCTAAGTTGTAATTGAAAGGGTACCCCAGATATGACAAAAAGGGTAGACTTGGTTCCCTTAAACTAATCAACGGGCTTATCCTAAGGGAAAAATTTCTTATAAGATAACGACTAAAGAAATATAGGGTTGCTTTCAAATGACATATACATATTCATATATATTAGTGTCAGTTTCGATATGATGAAGTATTTGCTACCACGTCCTCTAATAAACAAAGGCCATAGCCAATCTGTCAATATGAATCCCCATTTTTAAAGGGCATTCCCCGTTCTCTCACCTCCTTCTTCCCCGTTTACTTTCCTTCTATTCTGTGTAATCAATAGCTAACCCTTTTCCATGCTTCGCTAGCCACAATTATCACCATCGTCAAAATCTCACCACCTTCTGGTGGGATCAAGGGTCAAGATTACAAACCCACCACAGTTACCAAGTTCCAAATCTCAAGAAAATGGATAGTAAGTTATTCAGCAACAACAGCAACCGTTATATCAATAAGGAACAAGAAGAAACTGACGTATTAGCTCAGGAAAACATTGCCGAGTCCCCTCCTTCTTCCACCATGTTTAACATGGATGGCTTGGTTCCTTCCCCAACTAATTCTTCACTTAAGAAAAGGTTAGTATTCCAGCCATATATACTAATTACACAATTAACTAGTGTGAATTAATGAAAGGGTTAAATGGTTTTTTTTTTTTTTTTTTTTTTTTTTAAAATGAAGCAGGCGAGCCATACAAAAGAGGGTGGTGCAAATCCCAATTAAGGAAACAGAAGGGTCTAGGCTTAAAGGAGAGAGCAACACTCCACCGTCCGATTCATGGGCATGGAGAAAATACGGACAGAAACCCATCAAAGGTTCCCCTTATCCCAGGTAATCAATTATTAAGTAGTAGTAATAATAATGATAATGATAATAGTAATGATTTTCCATAAAATGATCATCATTGATTTGAACCAATAAGATTCTATTACTCGTGTTTGGTTTTTTTAAGGTTTGTGAGTGAAGAATTGGTGACAAGAAACTGAACTCGTGTAACGGTTGTTTGTTTTGTGAATTGTTGTTGTTGTTGTTGTCGTTGGAGTTGGGACAACAGAGGGTACTACAGGTGTAGCAGTTCCAAGGGGTGTCCGGCAAGGAAACAAGTTGAAAGGAGCCACGTGGACCCCACCATGCTCGTCGTTACTTACTCCTCCGACCATAACCACCCTTGGCCAGTTTCTAGAAACCACCATCACTCCTCCTCCTCCTCCGCCGCCGCTAAACCCACTAAAAAACCCGAACCCGAACCGGAGGTCGTTGCGGAACCGGAACCCGAACCGGAGGATAATAAGTTTGCGGACCTCGCCGGGGACGAGTTGGGGTGGTTTGGCGAGATGGAGACGACGACGTCGTCGGCGGTTCTGGAGAGCCCGATAATGGCGGAGTACGACGCTGACGTGGCGTCGGTGTTATTGCCAATGAGAGAAGAGGACGAGTCTCTGTTCGCAGACCTCGGGGAACTGCCGGAGTGCTCGGTGGTGTTCAGGCGGGGAATGGTGGTGGAGCGCCGGCGGTACAGGGCGCCGTGGTGTGGGACCACAAGTTGAGGGACAAAGCAAGAGAGAGACCAACAAAAGAGTTGCCTGTTTGACACGTTCTTCGTTTCAGCACAAGAAAAAGATACCCAATTTTTATTTTCAGATTTTATTTTATTTTTTTGTTGACTACTACTTGGTTGAGAGTAGAAAAAAGAAAAAGGAAAATAGAAAAAGTAGGGGATAGTGATGAATAAAGACAGATTGGGGTTGGGGTGGAAGCTGAAGTTGAAGGGGTAGTTGGAGGATGTATGTGTGAGTGTGGTATCCCCAACTTGGTTGTAATTAGCATAACTTGTCCGGCCATTTGAACAGCCTGCACCATGTTTCAAGATATTTTATGTGGACCACCCCACCTCTTCTTCACTAATTTCTCATTTTTTATAACAATATATCAAGGGTTTTGCATTTGTTATTTAACATAACACAACAAAATTTTTTATACATAATATTTTGTGGGGCTTGTATTTTTTGAAAAAAAAAAATTACGACACGTAAAACGAATTTCTATAACATTACACAATCACTTTTCCTACGACATAACTCTTATAAAACTCGTATATTAACGGAGAATTGTTTGCTCACGTCGCTTCATGTCCTGCACATACATGGAAACTGCCACCGGCATTTTTTCTTTTTCTTTTTTAAAGAAAAAGTGGGTCCCACGAAATTTTTTGTTTTAGCATAACCTAACAAATTTTTTCTACAATAATATTCTTATAAAATCCTATATTAATTCCCCGATTTTATTAATTGTTTTCAAGATATTTCATGGGGACCCCATGCTCTTAAAATTAACAAAATGTTCTTACGTATAAAGGGGTCTATTCCCTTCTTCTTATTTTCCTAATATTGTAGTATTTATAAATTTTAAATTAAATGTTATAAAAATTGAGAGTCAACTTGTACTTTTATATTATTTGGTCTATTATTTTTTCAAAAACTAATATACTATTTCCTCTTTTTGGAAGGAGTGCTGAAGTAAATCTCACATTTAAATTATGATATTTATGACAAAATTTCACTTTATTATCATTTTTCCATCTTTTTATGAATGGCTCTCCCTCTTTGTCTTGTTTGAATTTGTCTCTGATTGTGTATTTAGTTTTTCCATTAAATCACTATTAGTGTTAATGAGTTTGAAACTTTAAATAGTATGAAAAAGGTAATATATTTAATTTTTTGTATTGTGATTGTTATATATGCATTTTAACGAGCTGTCTCATTTATGTAGAGGAAAAAAGATGAAGAAATATAATTAAAAAAGAAGAAGAAAATAGAAAAACTTATCACTTGCTAATTGCTATTAAATATCTTGAAAAACTTGCAGATTATTTTGGTATCATCTAATGAATAAAATAGAATATTCATTGTTTTCATTATTGAATTTCATTTCATTACTTTTTTTTATGAAGAAACAAAAATATACACAATTTTGAGAGTTGGTTCAAATGACAATTCGAACCTCAAAGATGAATAAATTGTTACGAGCGAACGAGCACACACAATTGCAAAATAGAAAAGAGAGAAAGGAAAAAAGAATAAAGATACAGATTTACACACATAGATTTTTTTCAAGTACACAGACACAATCATAAAATAAAAAAAATAGAATGGGACCCTTGTTGGCTTTCTTTGCATCTGGCCAACAAGGGTTGTCATTTGAATACAAAATATAAGTCATACCCAACACAAATTGCCAAAAGAACATGGATTGAATCATAAAGATGACATTTTAGGCAAGATTTAGATAATTGACACGTCACTTGACTCAATATTAGTTTCATATTTATGTGGGTCCCTTTTTTTACGTGAATCATAGAGATACCCGAAAGATCTCACTCGCCCAATAATTAAGGTTACTGAATTCAAAAAGAAAAAATATGCACGAAATAATTGCTTAAGACCCAAGGGATAAATGCATTAAAGAAAATGGAGAGGGTGCCATCTCAAAATAGTATTTTTGAACTCTCTTCCTCCACCACCAAGACCCTTCTAAGGGAGACATTTTGGTAATTATGTAAAAACAAGAAATGGATGGGGATTTGAAGGGAATTATGTAAAAAGACATGGATTTAAATAGAACCACATTTTTTCAATTTGGGAAAAGGGGAGTACCGACTTTGGAACTCCCGCTAAAGAGAAAAAAAAAATCCCTTTTAAGGGCTATCATCTGGTCTCATGCAATTGACTTTGGTCTATTTTTGTAAGAAAATTTTATCTCCTACAACATAAGAGACATTATATATATATATGGTAAAATTATTTCTGCACCCGCTTTACGTACAGTAACGACAGGTGTATGGTTATGCTTTCCCACATTTAATGCTTTTATCCTTTGTATGGTTATGACTCCCCGCATTTAATGCTTTCAAGTATATATAGAGCAAGTATTTGATTGTTGCATGTACTGCAGCTGCAGATATATAAACCCTTATATATATATATATGGAAAAAATATTTCTACAGCCACTTTAGATAAGGTTATCTACAGCTACCTCAAAATTACGTCGTTTTGATTAATGAATGGTGTTTCAGTAAAATTGATATGATAAAAGAAAAATTACGAAAACACCCTTCATTAATTCACCTAAAATTACAGAAACACCTTACATTAATCAAAACGACGTAGTTTTAGGATAGCTGTAGATAACTTTATCTAAAGTGGCTGTAGAAATATTTACGCATATATATATATATGGGCAGATCCTTTGATAATGGTGTCAAACAAAAAGTTTGGCATCTCATTTGAGTGCTGTTAGATCAAAACAAATCAATTTGTCACATGATTACAAATCAGAGTCGTTAGATCAAGATAAGATCAATAACTCTTGGATGAGATGTTAAACTTTTTCTTTGACACAGATATGTGTGTGTTGGAGATTTTTTTTTTTAGGAGGGGGTGTCAAACTTTTTCCTCATGCTTTTAAAAAGTTATAAACCTCTTCTATAATATGAAAATTATTCAAACATTAAAAGAAAAAAAAAATCTACATCATTTGACTTTGTCATTTAACGGCAGAACATCATGTATTATAATGTTGGTGGACAAATTTGTCAGAGTTGCGAAGAGAAATTTTTATTTGCTTCCGGAGTAAGAGAGTGTAACCGTAGTTAGACATTTTATTTTGTATTTCACCAAATATTTTTATAAGCATTAATTTTTCAGACACTAGCGCGATTAAGAGATCCTTCCACCAGTGTTACACAATTTATTGACTAAAAGATGTATAAGAAGCCATTTTTTTTCTTTCATGGACGTTCACTTACTTAAATAAATTAAAGAAAGAGAGGGGCTACCTGATAGGCCTATGTATGGTCTATTATTTCAACAGAGGTATCTTAGTACTGTAGGCCCTAAGTTATTCCTGGGTAGCCCATTTTCTAAAAACAGGTATCATAATGAGATTACCTTAATAGGTGCTCTGAGCAGCTCTGCAGCACAAACAGAGTCTGTTTCAAGTGGTAAGGCCCAATACTCTGAGACCAATAACTGGAGTCCCTATAATCTCTTCTCTATGTATTTGTTCTTTTCGGAAGTTCAAATTATTTTGTTGATGCTTCAATATTCTGGGCTGCAAGTTCATGAAACATGAGAACACTATACTGTTTTTGTCAAGTAAAAATAGTTATTCATGACTAAAAAGGTTAAAAGAGAAAAAAAAATAGTTGATATTTTTTTGTGGTAGAAATATTCAATCACCAATAATAGCCTCATAAGGCTTTTGCATGATGTTATATTCTACCAATAATCCTACCCTAGACTCTATTTGGTTGTTGGCAACGTTTATTCATTGTGGATGCTGATTACACAATTCAGCGCCTTTAGATGCAAGAAGAAAAGTCTAATTGCAGTGATATTTTGCTCTTTTTCCATATGATCGCATTCATTAATATTCTTATTACTTTTAGTACCATTACATGTAAGTCATTCCCTTAATCATGCATTCATTCCTATTAGCTATCTTTAAGATGGCCTATGCAGTTCTAAGCATATTTTTCTTTCAGACCCCGATCTACAATCATCACATTGAGAATTTAAAAAAACTCCCTAAGCTCCTTCAATTTTTTAACTCAATAGTTTTTACCTTTCATTGCTTAGAGGAAATCATATTAAATCCATTCAAGTAAGTGACAGAAAGTCATTTCATCATTCCCTCCTCCCCTTCTTTTTATGTTCTATCATTGAAATTTTTTGAGAGGGAGGCAAATTCCAAACAAAATTTTCCAACATGAAAAAACTTTCAGAGGCATCATGCTTAACCATCATTATTGGCACCCGGGCAGTTAGTGAAATGATGCTAAAATTTTCTCCATGTAGGGTTTTAGGAAGCATATACCTCATGTTCATTTCATCTGTTTACCGAAAAGATGAAAACAAAATCTGACATTTTAACAGGAAAGAATAAAGAAATAGCAGACAAAGCTCCCCCATAATACACACAAAAACATAAAACAAATGGGAAAAAGATTAAAAGCCATTTTTACATAACCCCTCAAGGAGAAAACCAAATATAGTTAAATATGTTATATAAAAATGAAAAGCTGAAAATATAAGAGGAAAAAGGGTACAATATGGACTAGTTGCCGGCAAGCGTTGTCAGAATTTTGGTCAAACTATCAACTCTCTGTGCATTCTTAATTCATTCAATAAATAAATGGACTTAATTCCATCTTAATTTCATGTCTATAAATTACTGAAACAATTGACCTGTATAGTATAAGCACAAAAATCGAATATTATCTTTACAGAATAGCTATTATTTTGCATTATGATATATAGGTGAACAGAATGGGTATCCCAGAAATCATTAGCCTCAGCCTAACATCTACACATGCTTCTGTGCTAACCAACAACCTATATGGAAAAGCTACAGGATAACCAACGAAGTAGGGCCAGGCCACATTAGAGTTTGTATATTCCTCCATTAACACCAAAGAGTGGTTTCCTCAAATATATTTAAATGCAGGATCATACAACAAACTGAAACACTTGTCATTCAAACACCAAACAAGAATCTCAATATCTCATATTATGGTGCTCACGACCTATCTATGATTGCATACAGCCATACACGTCCTTGTCAGAGTTCCCACCTTCTGCATCATTAGCCCCTCTTGAAATTTGTCTCCTTTTCAAATGCTACATCACTCCTAACCTGTATTTTCATTATCTCACACACACCACATTGGAATATTATCATTGTTCAATTTTTCTTTTGCCAATTGCTCCATACCCCTTGAGTGAAATGCTAGCTAAAACCAATGTTTCCCATGACACCTCTCCACAAAAGGTTGTTCAAGTTCAACTTGTCCCTAAGTCTGTATCTGATAGGTTGCTGGAGAAGTTCTATGATGAGTCACAGTTTGACTTTGATTATGAACAAAGTGGGTTATGGTCTCCTCTAGTTTCACGCACAGTGTTCTTGAGCTCACCAGAGGGGATATTCACTGAGCAAGAAATGCTTGAAAGACTCAGAAGCAGAAATGCAAGAAGTCATAACAAAAAAACCAGAGTCTGTTTCAGTGTACTAGGATACTTTTTTCTCTGTTCCATCGGTTCCAAGTGGTAGATATCATTTCTTTTGCTTCTTTCTTTCTGAATTTGCACTGAAAAATTTTACCTTATCCTTTTGCAGGTGTTGTGTTGTTCCTGACAGTGAATGTAAAGAAAGTAGGAAGATAATCAGGTGGGGGCGAGAGCAACGTGTTCGATCCTGTATCATTTTTGGAAGGGTTTAAAGTCTTAATCCTGAATAAGATTGTTCTTGTGAAAAATACATATGGTTTATTAAAAAAAAAAAAAAAAAAATAGGAAGATTTCCCTTCCCAAACACTGTTTCTTGTTAATTAGAATACAAAGAAAATCCAAAATTTCCCTATGATTGTAATATCATATTCACAGGAATTTATATGTATTTCTTTTATTTTTCTCTTGCTAAACATGATGTATAAGTATATGTTCATTTTTATAAGAAGCATATATAATATCAAATCTTTTTTGAGGAGATTCCTATGGTGTACCTTTGTGGGGTCCATTTGCCAAACTAACATGCTCTAACGTGTATGGTTCATTGAATACGCTAATAGCCATATGTTTTTTGATATTGGATTGTTTCCATTCAACACAATTGCTCTTCCTGCTTTTAAGATGCTTTCAAAAAACACGTTGTAACGATGCAATGTTATAGAAAAAGCATCCATACATTATCTTTATTGTTCTGACACAATGGGCCCGTGCCATTTTGTCCAAATTTTTTTCAAAAGCACGAAGGGACATGTGAGACTGTTACCACCACCACAATTCTATACACAATGCTTTTAATTTCTTAAAATCAATTTTTAACTTCCAAAAAATCCTAAGATGTCTAGAAACACCTTGGGTCTTTTTCCAAACATCATGAAATAATGGTTTTCTCAAGATAACTACTTCGAATCAAAACATGAGCATTATGAACTTCAATACTTTATTTTAGTTCAATTCTGGGACCCCACTAATCAATGGTTAGAGGCATTAGATATTTGATATTATTCAATTCTGGAAGTCCCATACGTCACGATGGTTTTCTCGGGAAAACAACTTGGAATAACTAGTGGAGCATTTTGTTTTACGCCTACCTTGTACAATGTTTATAAGCCAGACTAGTAAAGAAGTTAGAGTAAAAAAATACGTGAGAAACGTTTAAAAAGTAGATTTGCTAAAGCTAAATTTTTTTTTCCTTCTTTATATCTTGTATTTTATACCCCAAATTTATTTAATGAATAACTTATACAGATAATACCCAATTTAGTGGAACTATTATTAAATCAGAATGGTGAGATGATGATAAACAATGGCCAATTCAGACTTCTTCAACAAAGTTTTATGTCCTTTCTATAGTGGAATGGTAACTTTCCCATGTAAGAAATTTCCCATTAATCTCATTGAACTTTATGTGCACCATAGTCCTTTAAGGAGATATTCCAGTTGAGGACCTGCAGTTGATCCACCTGGGACAAATTGCACTGTTTGAAAGAGAATTTTACATTGCCCATCTGGATCAGTTAAAGAATACATGGAAGAAGGTGAATGTTACTTGTGCTTGATTACCATCCTCTTCTTCATTGCCATGTTTGGTTCATTTCACAACACCAATGACTGCAAAATGATTGAGCTTTGGATTACAAACAAATGGGGGAGATGTGGAAATTGAAATTTGCCCTCAAGAAACAAGTATATTTGGAACTCACAGGTCCACCAAGTTTGAAGAATTTCTGTTCCTGGAATCACACAGTCAAATTTCCAACCTTGAGAAGTGTACTCATAAAAGGATGCTCCAAAATGAAGGTATTTTGTCCAGCCTTTCTGGCCACTCCTTGGTTGACAAGATAGTTGAAGTGTATAAAGAACTTTGAGAGGGCAATCTTATAATGTTCATTGAAAAAGGCAACCACCAATTCCCAGATTATTTCACACATTTATGGAGTAAATCTTACATGCACATGTTTTATGAAAAAACAGAAGTACTGTTTTACGAATATGATTCCAAAGCACTTGAAAAATATTAACATCACCTATTTATGAAAAGTTCGATATTATAAATTGAGAGTAATCCAAATTCCACCCCAAACTGTTTTCACAATACATATAGAGCTATTCAGGAACTGGAGATTATGATAGTAAGCAGTAACAGCAACACAAATTATTGAAAATTTCAAATAAGCAAGTGTGTTGACTATTACTAAAGGACTAAAATCAGAAACTCATGAGAAGAAAAACAAAACCAAATGGAATGAAACAAAAATTGAGAGTATAAAGTTCAATCTTGATTTAACTTAAAGTAACTTTCTAACCCAAAACCTATTTAACTAGCTCATGAGCATTTTTCATCGTGAAACCCCTCGCACTGTCATTTGAATGAGTGCACTGTCCTCAGCAGGGTAAACCATCATGTGCCTGAACCCTCTGTAGCACACTGAATGCTCACCAACCTCACCACATCTCTCTCATCACCTTTTTTCTGATAACATCCAAAACGATCATATGCATAAAAGATAATAGAACACTTGGGTTCACTGAGGTAGAAAGACTAAAACAAGTAATCAAGATAATTACAAAATCATTTCCATTCAAGTACTTGGGAAGTGAGTATAATTAGTTAGGTCCATGACAAATTTGTTTTCAACTCCAATCTCTTCGACAATATGATGTGCTTTGGAACAGTCAATTCCGCATAAACTAGCTCTTTCATCTAGGTGTATATGATTTCACATTAGTAGCACTCACATAACGTTTGTATGCTCTTCAACGCTGTTAATTGTAAATAGTTTACTAGTTGAATTAGTTTGACAAGAAGTTCAAAACATGGCTAGATAGCGAGAGAAAATATAAACATGGGCCTCGAGTCCAAATGGCAACTACAGCAATTTTTCTTCTCCACTATACGGGGGTACGTATACCTGAATTCTTAAAAAAAAACGATAGCTTTTGTTAGAGATCATGCTTTAGAAACTGCAATTTGATATTTTTAATTATTTAGGAGTCAGTTTTCATTATGTTTTAATGAGTTGTTATGTAGTGGGCAATTTACTTTTTTGCTTTAATGGGTAGTTATATAGTGAGCAATTTTCTTTTCTACTTTGATGAGAAGTTATGTAGTAGTGAGCAGTTTCTTTTTATTATTTTGCTTTATAAGTTGTATTGTCACACATCAATAAAATGTACTTCATTTCTAAAACCAACAACTGGTATCAAAGCTATCTTCCTAAAGGGATCTGTGTGTCAATTTGAGGCGCCATGGAAACTGAAGCGAATCTTACGTCAATTGCTCCGCCAGTATTTGATGGAGAAAACTACCCAATTTGGGAGGTACGCATGGAGACGTACTTGGAGGCGTTGGATCTTTGGGAAGCAGTGGAAGAGGACTATGAAATTCTGCCTCTTCCAGCTAATCCCACCATGGCACAAATAAAAGTGCAGAAGGAGAAGAAAACTAAGAAGTCAAAAGCAAAAGCCTGTTTGTTCGCTGCAGTTTCACCCACTATTTTCACTCGTATCATGACTTTGAAGTCAGCAAAGGAGATATGGGATTATCTCAAGACTGAATACAAGGGAGATGAACGCATTCGAGGAATGCAGGTGCTGAATCTAGTTCGCGACTTCGAGATGCAGAAGATGAAGAATGATGAATCTATTAAGGAGTATTCTGAGAGGCTTCTTAGTATAGCAAGCCGGATCAGATTGCTGGGCTCTTCTTTTCTAGAGTCAAGAATTGTTGAAAAGATCCTTGTAACCGTTCCTGAAAAATTTGAGGCCACAATTACATCCTTAGAGAATACTAAGGATATGTCAAGCATCACTCTTGCTGAATTGTTGAATGCTTTGCAAGCACAAGAGCAAAGAAGAGCCATGAGGCAAGAAGGTGTCATTGAAGGAGCTCTACCTGCAAAATATCATGAAGCTGGTAAAAATAAGAAAGTGCAAGAAGGTAATTCTGGTTCTTTTTCTTCAAGTAGCAGGAATGGAAATTCCAAGGGGAAATATCCTCCTTGTCACCATTGTGGGAAGAAAGGTCACCCTCCTTTCAAATGTTGGAGGAGGCCAGATGCAAAATGCTCCAAATGCAGCCAATTTGGGCATGAGGAAAACCAAACATTTTAAGATCAAGTTTTTCTTCTTAAGGGAAGTTCAGAAAGAAGGTGAAATCGTACTTGTCTACTGCAAGTCAGAAGACCAATGGGCAGACATATTCACAAAACCATTACCTACAAGCAAATTTGAAGATCTAAGGGAGAAGATTGGTGTTTGCAGCTCCAAAAGCAAGGAGGAGTGTTAGAGATCATGCTTTAGAAACTGCAATTTGATATTTTTAATTATTTAGGAGTCAGTTTTCATTATGTTTTAATGAGTTGTTATGTAGTGGGCAATTTACTTTTTTGCTTTAATGGGTAGTTATATAGTGAGCAATTTTCTTTTCTACTTTGATGAGAAGTTATGTAGTAGTGAGCAGTTTCTTTTTATTATTTTGCTTTATAAGTTGTATTGTCACACATCAATAAAATGTACTTCATTTCTAAAACCAACAGCTTTGTCTTCTTACAGTTTGGATATAAAGATTAAATGAATATGAAAATTCTCTGCGTTCCTATCTGCTAGAGCAAATGAGGAAAAGGAAACTATGTTTATAAGCACAAAGAATATACATGCATCTCGCAAGGTAAGGTTCATGTCTAACTTGGTTTAAAAAGCATCACAGATTTGTATAGTTTAGGTTTCTTTGGATACAAAGATTATGTGCAGCTCAATATGTACTCATATCAGCAATATTCATAGCTGAACTGCAATGCAGGAACACTAATTAAACAGGAATAGGGTTTTGTTGGAGGGCTTCCTTCCCAGTAATGCCTTCTTTTAAATTTTTAAAATATGTGTCATAGTCCTTTTCTGGAGGAGGGTTTGCTGGATCCACAGTAAATGGCTCGCTAAATGGAACAACACTTTTGACCTGAAATATATATAGATTATTAGTTTGCAAACTAAGTGAGACTGTCAGTAATCAAAGTACTAGATTCATTTACAAAGGGAAAAATAGTTCATCTCAATCTTAAACAATTACATGCACTTCGGTGCATATAAAAACAGTAGAGCTGAAGTTCACATTGCATCTCAAAAACGTAAATATACTAAATAAATTATGAAAAAATATTGAGATAATAAAAAGGAAAAGGCTGACCTCAAATGTTTTGTCACATGCATAAGGGATTTCAAGTGCAGCTACACACATACGAGCAACCTCTTCCCTTGATATTTTACCCTATATTTTTTTCATTACATTTGCAAAATGAGAAGGTGCAAAATGGCTACTATATGGGAGTTGCAATGAATTACCAAACAAAAAAAAAGGAGGAGAAGAAGCAAGCAGAAATAGAGGACTTGAACTGAGAAAAATATCCATCATTTGTTTTCACAATACCGTAATATTATCTCCTTGATCAAAGATAAGGTCGGCTCCAGCAGGCTCCTCAGTTAATGCACAAGGCCTCACGATTACATAGGGAATGCCACTTTCTCGAAGTAAATCCTCACCCTGTTGCAGTATTAAACACTTTTAGCATATCAAGAAGTATGTGCCGCGGAAGTGGGGATTCCATAACTAAATAGGTTATGATAAACAATAAGGAGGTTCCTTGAGCATCCCCTTTTGGAGAAGGAATGATTCTCTTCTTCCGTAAACTTTGAATAATTCTTCAACACCAAGAACTCAGTGTAACACCCACTAAAATTAAAAAGACATGACTCACTCACCTAATTCCATTTACTCCAGCCACTTTTTTATTATTAATACCACATTAAGTCTCACTTGTGTCTAATTTTAGTAAGGAAGTATGTATTATATTAGTACTGCAAATTTACTCATAAACTTAAGTGAAAAAATGTCATAGTCTAACAGCCACTCAGAAATTACAGCAAATTTCAATGGTTGACCAATTACATAAACTACAATAATTCAACAAATGCTACTTGAGGACTTCGTATCAAACAAGATTCTGTCAAATGACGTTTCCACAGAGGCACATGCATCAGAAAATGCATAAAATGATAATAGTAATTATATTCACACATACGTTTTGCCTCACATGCTCCCATGTGAGATTAACCAACTGTCAAACGACTCAAACCTGATATAACCACAAATATACCTATATGTAATGTAACCAAAAATTTTAACCACAAATTTCCTGCCGTTTCCTTTTAAATTCATTGGTTGGTTATATATATGGTATATTATTGGTTGAATATGTTTGACATATGGTTACTAAACCATCCCCTGCCAGCTCAGCAAGTGGGCTAAGTGATTAAAACAGTTTGACAGCTGGTTAATTATTTCACATATGTTAGTTATGAGGGAAGCATTCAAATGATATATATGTAGAGAACACAGCAGCAAATATACACCATTTTTTAACAGCTAAAAACAATATATTTTAGCTCAACCTTTCAGAATTCTCATAACAAGTTGGTCATCAGCCTATTTAAACTCTATTCCTAAAACAGATTATTATCTGTACATTCCCAAGCAAGAAAATTACAATAAACACAATGAATATAAAAGATGCTAATAGATCAGCTTCAAGTTTCATGTATGAAAAAATCTTAACAACCAAAACCAGTTTTGCAGACCAGAGACCTATCAGACATCAATTTTTTGCAAACTGCAGACCTGAAAATTTGGTAATATATCTGTGCCAAACAAGGACCCATCACCAGGTTTGTACCTTTAGTTTAAATGTGAGGATATAATCCAGTTCCTTGTTTAATCGGACAGCAGGAGGCTGTTTACTTAGATCAAGTCCTGGCCTTTCAGGTCTGGTAACTCCTGCTGAGCTCACATGTACAAATCTAAATGACACAAAAAAGTGTACAACAACAGATTAAGCATATGACGAAAAAATGGAAGGGGAAGACAACCAAAAAGATAAGGCTGTACCTAGGTGTTATTGGATCCTTTATATATGCCCGTATGCTAGATACTGGAAGCTCAAATGGACCTTCCATGAAAGTTTCATTTAATTTACCGTCATATTCAAACTTGCTGAACATGAGCTGCAGAGAATTTTGCTTCATCGTTAAGAACCAGTGTGAGATATCGCTAAGCCAAAAGAGATAAAGAAATACTAACAGCAGAGCCGTGCCTGCAATGATGCAACATTGCTTGGATCAAATGGTGGAGCATCAGATACAGTTCTTGCACGAAACACAGGCCTCAGGGAAGAGAATGGCAATTGAATCTATGAAAGAGAAAAGAGAAAAACCCTTGAGAGTTGTTTTTAGATAATATAGAATGTAACTCATGCATTGGATGTTAACTACCAATTGCCATTTTCCTTTCTCAGTATTAAAGCCTGCAGTGTAACCAACAGTGTCCCAATCACGGCTTGTACGAACAATGACTTTATATCTATGCCCATCTCCTTTTAGACGGAACTCCAAACCATCATATGCAGAAAGATCCTCAGGTTCTGAGAAATTCTGAAAACCAATTATGTAAACTATCTCCTTTTTCAGAAAAGAACTTAGTTTCCCAAAGTAATTAGAATACAAAAGAAAAATCGATAAATCTGTTCATGACAAGCAACTATAATAACTACTAGTTCTAGGCTGGCAACACCAGAAGCTTAGAAATAGTTAGTCAGACACTCCAGTGACATGTATATTCACACTGTCAAAAATGAACAAGAAGATATTTCTGTACCAGTCTTCTAAAGAAACAAAAAGAAATCTCTCAACACTATCCAAAAGGACAAAAGAAAGAGAAAAAGGCACTGCTGTAGTCATTCCAAGACAAACTAATTCAGACTATTTAAAAATAAATCCAGAGCTTGAACTGGATGGCTATAACATATCCTGGTAAGTATCCCACTTTAAATCTTAAGTCATTAGGTGATATCCAAGAATAATTTTCATGTCTGACCTGCCTGTTATGATTGAAAGAATTAAATGAGAACAAGTGAACTGCTCTAAATGTGATAAATTTAGTAAAAGGACCGCTGAAATTCAATCCTCCAGTGTAGTTATAAAATATGTTGGTGGTTCAAACAATATTAATAAAATCGGGCTTCAGCTCCATTAATGTACCAAGAAAAAACATGAGTCAAATTAGTTCAAAATGTTACCTACTATTCCTATATAGTGGTCAAACTGAAACAAGTAGCAATTAAACATTATGTCATTGCCATTTGCCAGGCCTCATTGAAAAGTTAATATAAATAATTGCAGTTTACCTTTGTTCTGATACTTGTAAAGCCACCATTATTTGCTGTTGAAACAACACCTGAACTAGGCATACAGTTGTATTATTTTGAGCAGTAAACACAGAGGACAAGCAGTCCTAGTCACCAAAAAGTGCAGTCACATGCATTTGCAAGAATCTGACACATACCTTTAAAAACCCCAGTTGGTCCACCATCTTCACTACCTCTTGGATCAATTTGAAAAGTACTTTCACTAACTCCGCCCATTACCACATCATCTAAAGCACCCCAAGAAAGCTGTCTATAATTATCACCTACAAGGAATAAAGAAAAACAAATCTTATTAACAGGATGTGCAGAAAGTAAAACTAAAATTACTTGTGCTTGCACAAAAAATTACAAACCAACAGTAGTTGTATGCACTATAGCATGTTACAAGAACAAAGCCACTGCATGCAAGAGAGACAGTTTTCTGCTAATTCATGCTGCTGCATTCCGACTTGCAAGTTAATACTCAATCCAATATCCAAAGTGTCATGCTTTAAATTTTATTCCTACTATTAGCCTACGGGAACATGTCTTAGAGGTCATTAGCAAGCTAACTTGTGCATGAACCTCCCCAAGAAAAAAAATCAATTCGGTCTGTACTATTTTCCATTTTATGTTCAAGCACATAGTTTAGTTTGGTGGTAACTGGTCATTTATATGTTAAAAAATTAGTTCAGGCAATTAATAAGTTGAATCAATCACAACCAATTGTTATTGCCAAATGCCAACTAGGAATCTACCTTCAAATCCAAATAATAGCTTCCCCCTTCGAAGTCCAAGATTGTCCTTCACAGCCTTGATCAAATTTCTCATTCCTATGTACTCTACCTTTTCTGGTGAATCACCTTTTATCTGCTTTCAATAACCAGTGAGTAAGAAAAAAAGCTTCTAGAATTTTACACAATGAGCTTGCAAACCAGATGGACTTCCAAATTAAATAGACAAGAACAAATCTGACTCCAAAGATATTGTCAGAAAATCAGTTAGCTACCTCTGGCTCAAAGAACTTAATTCCCTGCACCATAAATAATTTCATTGTTAGAAATAATTATGAGAACTATCATAAAACTAAAAACAAATGAGAAAAGCAATAGGTTGATATAAGTCAATATTAACATACTCATTTCTCAGTGATAGATAAGCATTAATTTAAGTATAAGAAAAATGAAATTTCTACTGTCGTCGTAAAGCTAATGACATACTTGGCTATATTTTGCTCTGTCTGGAGTATCTCCTTCCTTAGGGCCAACAATGACAGAAACAGTATTGATCACTTTCTTCACTCCTTTAAAGTATTCACGGATCAAAGTGCTATCCTTTGTAATGTCTCCAACAACCTTAGTTTCAGCATAAAGGTCAGTTCAGTTGGAAGCAGAGGATGTAAGGGATAAAGAAACTATCATTTTTATGCAGTATGTTATATGCAATTACAAAATCAAAAATACAAATAACAGGAAAGTTCTGCATTGATGATCATTATCTTCCACCAACAAGTCTTGAAACTTTGGTATATCTTCCATGCAAAAATTAGTAAATAATTTGTAGATGGCTCAAAGTCAATCGGTTATCTCTTCCTACAAACACAATCCCCCAAACTAACATATATTCTCCATCATTGCTGGATCTGCCATATTTAGGTTCAATAATATCTATTTGTCAACAAAATGATAACTAAAAATCCAAGCTACCAATTTTTGGAAGAATATGAACCCAAAGAAAATTGTGCAAACTAAGAAAGTACATTTATATATTTGATTATTTGCAATGTATTTCAGTAAATTCACATAAAGTAACTCACCAAGTCAACATCTGAGCCTAACATCCTTCTTGCCTTCTCTTCATTTCTAACCTGATAATATTGATGCAGAAATTTAATATTTATTATGCATTGAATTCAATAACAAATTGAAAATTTCTATGCAAGGTAAGTCAAAAACAATACCAGTACTCGGACTGGAATTCCTTTCTTCCGTAATATGTCAACCACTCTTCGACCAACACCACCAGTAGCTCCAGCTACCAGGACAATATCAGAAGTTCCCATTGAGTTTACCGATTCACTTGGGGAAGGACCGGATAGTTTCTCAACTAGAAAGTCAAAGAACTTCACAGTTCAGAAATGATGAATACTCATTAGTTGATCCATACCAAGCTTTCTCTTTTTTAATTCTCTATTATTCTTTTGAGTTATACTAGTTAGAAATTGAACAAAATGTTACCTTAGCAGGAGATGGGGGTCCGTTGAAGAAATATAGTGTTTTTATAAATCTTCCAAAATCCCAACTTTGCTTTCCAGCTTCAGCTGATATGGTCGCTCTATATGTTCCAGCAGAGGCTCTGGTTGAGGTTCGTTCATAAATTAATGTCCGAGGTCTGCCATAAATCTGAAGAAATGGTTTAGGCAGTGTAGGTGATGCCAAAAAAGGGTGTGAAGATTTCTTACAGAACTTTCTTCCAGGCAATTTAGGGCCCTGCAGCAGCATGAATTATGAGAAGATAAAAAGATGAAGCAAAAATGAAATCAATGATAAAGAAGTACCAAACATTCACTAGCTATAATGAAGTTGGAAGTTTCAACTTCAGCAACAACAGCAATTAGAATCAGCATGCATGGATAGGGATAAGAATAAGAATGCTTCCAGTCCAATCATCAGTTCCACATACCAATTTTGAATTCAATTACAGGTAGCTTTTAACACTTACTACCAAAAATTTATTTAGAAATTCAGCAAAATTCAGAAAAGACATTAAATGAACTTCCCACATAACCACAAATTACAGAACAATAAGGGGGACAAAAAGATAATAGCAGACAACCTTTTTTGGGTTGGCTTTGTAAAAAACGAAAGATTCTAACTTGATGCAAGTTCTGTCCATCACATTCTAATCAACAATTACTTGATAGACTTGGTATGGAGTAGAAAAGTGATCAAAGTTTCAATAACAAGCTTCTATATTTTTATTTTTATTTTTATTTTGCAAAGACTTAAGAATGATACCTGAAAATTGAGAATAGAAGTGGAAGCAGGGGAAGAGAGAGTTGTGAAGCACAGTTCCATTTCGAAAGAAGCTGTAGACGTAAGCTCTCTAGTTATGGTTATGGTGATATTTGCGGTGTTAGGCTTCATATGAACCACAAACGCAACAACTGTTCATTTTAGGTGGCGTATCCTTTCTACTAATGTCAAAAGAATAAAAATAATTAATAAAATAATAAAAATTTAGTTTTTAATTCTTATTATTTTGTTATCCTTGTTTTACTTTCTTTTTTTTTTATTCATGACACATATATTCTTAAGTGCCTAGTTTATATAATTTTAAAAAAAAAATTATTCGCTAAATAATATTTCTATAACAGTATAATAAGTAAATTATAATTGAATAACTATGGTTTACCTGATAATAACCATTAATAAAATATAGATTTTATCTCTTATCAATTTATTATTTTATTAAAAATTTGTTTCAAATGTCAAAATAATAATAAAAATTATATTACTTCTTCTTTTTATTATTTTGTTGTCCTTGTTTTACCTTTTTTTCATGACATATTTTTGGTAAATATGACACATCTTTTTAAATGCCTAGTTAATATTATTTTATTTTATTTGCTAAACAGGATATTTATAAAAAAAATGTAATCACCGAAAAATAATTGAATAAGTATTGTTTACCTCAATATAACCATAAATGAAAGATAGTTATTATCCCATGAATTTGTTATGATAGTAAAAGGTAGTTCAGATCGCAACTGAGTTCTCAAGAGTTTGTCTGAGGCAGCAGAAAGGTAGCGAAGCTCAATGCAACAAGGGGCTAGTCTACAAGGTCATACTTTGAGGGCAAGGTGACCAGAAGAGGTTGAATGGGGACACATCCAGATTATACCAAAAAATAAAAATTATTTCAGATTTGAACAATTCTTGAGGTCTATTGCTTGGAAGGGAATTATCCTGACCGTTGGACTACAAATGGACGTTTGGTACACGTTTTTTTTTCGGATTTTCGGAAAACTGAATTTTTTTAAATTTTAAATTTTCGGATATTATTGTAAACTGCATATAAAATTATATTTTTAAAATTTGAGATTCTCAGATAAAAAAAATTTTCTCCTCTACCAAACGTCATCTTATATGCTACCAAAAATAATAAGGCAGCATATTTAAGAAAACTAGTGAGCTCGTACATCAACGACTTAGCTGAATACACATTTCTCCACTAGTCATCATCGTCATATGTTTTTATCTTATAATTGAGATTTTCTTAATCACTTTTCACCTCTTAACATTTAACAAAAAGTTAACAGTTCATTAACAATATTCTTGTTGTTTTCTCAACAAATTAACATATAGGCTTTTGATAGAACGGAACTTAATACTCCTTAATGGTTGGTACTGCTGGATAAAAGTTATGAATTTTATCTTGGAATTCATATTATAAACTTGCAACTCTTGCTACTGATGCCTCTCCAGGGGAAGCATTCATGGACCACCTCTATTTTTCCTGTACCGTTGTTGCTGTTATTCTTAAAAGCCATTTTGCAGATTTCATCTTGGAAGCACACTAAAAGACACTTCTTGAATGTGAGGGTAAAAACTAAAAAGGGTAGCTAGAAATTAAATCACACAGACACACACAAATAAGGAAAAAAGAAGTATCATTTAAAAGGACATAAGTTGTGTCTTTTTAGATTTTACACAAAGTATGACTTAGATTTTACACACCGGTCATATTTTGTGTAAATCTGAAAAGTTACTTTTTTTTTCTTTCTCCTCAATCACATCGCTGACATGTAAAGTGAAAAAAAAATCTTTTCAGAATTACACAGAGTATGACCGGTCATATTCTGTGTAAGTCACTAAAAGGACACAAGTTGTGTCGTTTTAAATGACACACATTAAACCCAAAGAATAATATACTTAAACGTTTCGGCTTATTTTAAAAATAATCTATATTAGTATGATATCATCTGAAAAAATAATTTAGGACATGTTTGGTGTTATGTATAAGACCTGATAGTATGAGCTTATATTATATGTTATGATATTTTTAGTTGTTTGGTGTGATCATCGTATAGTATACGCTTATACAGCAAAACTCTTTAATATATCAAAATAATATTAAGGGGTTGATGTATTAATATTGCTGATCAGTGCAACTCTCAAGAATTAATATTAATATATTAAAATAAAAATTAATTTTTTAATATAATTTTTAAAATATTGAAAATTTTTATTTTTATAAAAATTAATATATTTTTTGGACATACTGATTAATAAATTTTTATAAAAAATAATATCATATGACATATTTGGAAGAATTATATAAATTTTTTATTAAAAGGGTATTTTCATTAAAAACAATTATTTTTATCCTATCTAATAGTATATAGTGCACTATCAAACATTAGATAATATTATCTTATACAATAACATGTCAAACGCTAGATAATATTAAAATTTAATCAGGTCTTATACAATCAAGCCTTATATTATCAAATCTGTGGACTTCATTGGTATTCCTAAAACAGGGGTTATTGGGTAGTTTTTAAATCCATTTATGTTTTGCTCTCCTTCATGTCGTTTTATGTTTGTTAATTAAACGCTGCAGTTTTGCTTATTCATATATACAAAATGATATCCTTTATTTTGATACAACTCGCATTCTACCCGATTGATATATCTCTCTCTTCGTCTTTCTCTCTCGTTCAAAAGCGCTCTGAAACCCTATCATAGGGTTTGCTGATTTCATCAAGAAATCACCCCTTCGGTTTGGTTAATCTTGTGATTACCTATGTGCTTCTTCTTCTCCTTGTGTGCACCTCTGTTTTCTCGTTCTCTTTTGCAGGATTGATTGAAGATCAAGATCAGGAGCGACTGGGTTGTTCGCTCGAGACTTGGTGACTTTAATCCAAGATTGTAGAAGCTCACTGGTTCAGCTGGTGCATGGGTATCTGATACTTTGTGTGATATTACATGCCAGTGTGTGTTTTCTTTTCGTTCTTGTAATCTGATGCATGTTTAGATCTCTTAGGTGTTCTTTAGAGTGTTGCTTTTGATTCTGAGTTATAGATGCTTTATGTCTTTGCACATTGTATTGGGGTTCTGATTTAATGCAAGCTGATAAAGGGGATTTTAGCCCTTGCCATTTGTCCTTGATGTAGGAAACTTGCTAATAACAAGTTTCTGAACAAGTAAAAATCATTGTGCCTCCTGTAAATTTTCTTCTGTTAACTTGTATCTCCACGATTAAATTTACAACAAAATCTTATACCAATATTACTTATCTTATACTGTACACCAAACATGCTCTTAATTCAAAAATTTAAATTATTAAATGAGCCTATCTTAATAATTTTTATATTTTTCTAACATTCTTCGTTGACAAGACTCACCTACAATTTAATTTCAACACACACAAATCCCATCAAAACACACGTCTTTCTCTTGACTTGGCCCGATCTACAAAGCATTCTCTTTCTCTTTCTGCTTCCTCTCCATTCACTCATTTGCCCATTTTATATATATATAGTTACAAACTTACAATTACTTGCCCTCAGAAATTCATTCCCCCTATCTCATTAATTCCCCACTCACATGGCACGATCCTGCACTTTGATGATCCTATTCTTCGTTCTCTTTGCTTCGCTTTGTTCATGTTTAGAAGGCAGAAAGCTTCTACTGGGAGAAGAGAAGCCGTGGAAGAAGGTGAAGGCATCTTCAAGGGACAGTTTGTTTCTCAGTGCACTTCCTAAGGGCACTGTGCCATCTTCATCTCCAAGCAAAAAAGGGAATGACATGGTGGTTGATGAGAAGCTCATAAGCATGGATAGAGTTCTTCTGCTATCTGTCCCCAGCCCGGGTGCTGGGCATAGGGCTGTTCAAAAAAAATCTGGTTCACTTGCCCTACCCTTTATTCGACCTTGACCCGACCCATAAATACCCATATTTTTTGAACTGGTTTAAATACTGACCCACTTTTATTTAGGTCAGTTTTAGACCTGACTCGTTTTAATATTGACCCACTGACCCAAAACTTGACCCATACCCATTACGTGAAAAAGAAAATCACAATTACATTAAAAGAGAAGTTTTAAAGTAAAACAATTACGTCAAAATTTTTTAAGGAAAATATTTTCATAAAAATTTTACAGATTTCAAATTTCTGCAAAAGTTTCCAACGGAAATATTTTCGTCCTCAAAAAATTTTGACGGCAAAAAATTTCATCAAAATTCTTTACAGATTTCAAATTTTGGCGAAAGTTTTCGACGGAAACATTTTCGTCATCAAAAAATTTTGACGGCAAAAAATATCGACGGCAAAAAATCTCATCAAAATTCTTTACAGATTTCAAATTTCGGCGAAAGTTTTCGACGGAAATATTTTCGTCATCAAAAAATTTTGACGGCAAAAAATTTCATCAAAATTCTTTACATATTTCAAATTTTGGCGAAAGTTTTCGACGGAAACATTTTCGTCATCAAAAAAATTTAACGGCAAAAAATATCGACGGCAAAAAATTTCATCAAAATTCTTTACAGATTTCAAATTTCGGCGAAAGTTTTCGACAGAAATATTTTCGTCATCAAAAAAATTTGACGGCAAAAAATTTCATCAAAATTCTTTACAAATTTCAAATTTTGGCGAAAGTTTTCGACGGAAACATTTTCGTCATCAAAAAATTTTAACAGCAAAAAATATCGACGGCAAAAAATTTCATCAAAATTCTTTACAGATTTCAAATTTCGGCGAAAGTTTTCGACAGAAATATTTTCGTCATCAAAAAAATTTGACGGCAAAAAATTTCATCAAAATTCTTTACAGATTTCTAATTTTGGCGAAAGTTTTCGACGGAAACATTTTCGTCGGCAAAAAATTTTGACGGCAAAAAATTTCGACGGCAAAAATATTCATCAAAATTCTTTATAGATTTCAAATTTCGGCGAAAGTTTTCGACGAAAAAATTTCGTTAAATTTTTTGACAAAAAAAAAATTTCGGCGAAATTTTTAGCGAAACACATTTCCATCGAAAATTTTCAACGAAACATATTTCTATAAAAAAATTCCGTAAATTTTTTTGACAAAAAAAACATTTTGACGAAAAAAGTATTCTGTCAAAATTCTTTA